TCATTGTTTATGAACTGGGTCTATGTTATCGGCTCTTGTGTTGGTCCCAACAGTTCTCCATTCCCGTATCTAAATGATTATGCCTGAAGAGAAAATGTTAAAGATGTATGTTCGCTTGCACTGACTTTTAATCGTGTTAATGATATTTTTACTATTGATCTGTTATTTCCATTATTATTCTCTGTCTATCAATCATTTTTCTATTGTGATGTCAACCGAGCCCACTGTACCTCAGCCATGGAGGGATATTTATACTAACTGGTTCGAAGTAGATGGACAGTTTCCTTTCAGTGGAACTAGAGTAGGTAGGGACGTGTATGAGGGACGGCAATCTTTTGAAGGAGTATAACAGTACCGCCAAAAGATAAACGAAGACCTCTCCAATATTGAGCACGCAGTGGCAGTCGGAGTTATGGCATCGCCGTGCAATAAAGACGTCACCAATAAGCTGCTTAAGTGTCATCCTCTCAATCATAACGGAGCATTTTTCTGTGATCGAAACTACACATCTATCTTCCGAACTTATGACACGACTTTCCTCACCAAAACATCCTAACCAAGCGGACAATGTCAATTCATCCGTTCCTATTCTGAGTTCTTAATCTTCACTAAGGCCGGAATGCATCAACTTGCGCACTTTGTTGCAAATTGGGGCATATACAACCCTTTACCGAATATTGGAGGCTCTATCGGTGGATAACTGCTGTTTATCGGAAATCCGCCTGCAAGACTCGAGCTCTGTGCTCACTCCGAAATCCCCTTCATGTGACAATGGTGGCACTTTTAATTACACCTAACCAAAGGTAACACAGCCACAGTTGCTGGTGAAGCCGATTTGGGTGTTACTTTGAGTCCCAAAAGTGAAGTTTCTCTGGTTGACTGGATCCCAGTGAGTACCTGAATGTGCGGCATCCGACCGGCTGGCTCGTTTGAAGTTTCGAAGTTAGCGTGGCCAATAGGTGCCTGTTTGTCATCGTTGTCTACGCCCCAGCAAGTAACTCGGTGAAAGATACCTAGTATCACCAGCTGAACCAGATGCATCATCACAGAGGTAGCCCGGATACAATGCTGACTAGTGAGCTGAGCGCTAAAGTTGGAACATTATCAACGGATGAGGTGCGTCTAGCCTCCCATCATGACAACGGTGAGCGGTTGCCACACCTGTGTGAATATGCTCGTCTATTTCTTGTCCGCACAATGTTTTGACAAAGCCCCTCAGAATGGTAACATGGCACTAAAGACGCAACAAAAGGAGGTGGGAGGGAGCAGTCTGTTCATGACGGCATTGTTAAAACGTAGGATTGGTCGATAACAAGTGTAAATTCATCAAAGAAGGAAGGAATTCTGATTGATGACGGCGGTGGTCAGGAATTGGGCAATGCTTCTGTTATGATGAGCTGCCGATTGGGTGTCCAGAAACGCATCTACGAAATCCTCCCAAAAGCTACATTTGTGCCATGCACAAATCATTCCCTGATTCTCGATTGTGTACATGCAGCTTCGAGGACAGTTCACTTTGTGACATAATTTGGTATAATGTGTTCCAGAACTCAGTCTTTCAAGAACAAGCCTTTATTCGGCAAAGTCAACTCAGCGAAAATTACAGCACGTTCGGCAATCCGTACGCCTCGTTCACATACAAAACGACTCTTATAAACCAATGAGATTCCTCTTTTGACTCAGTTAACCAAACGGTGTGTAGCCCACACGAACCTCGGTCAATTCGTGTCTTGTGATCGAATCCGCTATGTGCGTCTCCCATTGGTTTTCAGCTCATTTGTTTGATCCATCAATTCACTCTGATAGGACACTGCCATCACACAATGGAGCGGTTATTCTCGTTTTTTTCTACATCTACATATTGCTGAAACGTCTTGGTTAAAGTGAGCGTTCTAAGTATCAAGTGGCTGTGGAAACTGGATGGAGTAGTTGAGCAGATGCTGCAAATGTTGTGGTGGAAGAAATACTCGGAGACCGTCATTGCTCTTGAGCAGTTTACAGCAGGCGAACATGCGACCATTTTTCCGAGCCTTTAAAGATCTATTTTCCCAGAAATCGATGACCTCGGAACTATCCTCAAACAAACTTCTGTTAAGCTCACAGCGTTAGGCGCTTCCTTTCTTCAGAATAGAGCGAAGATAGTGGACATTGCAATGGATGAATCTAAAACTTTGCTCTGAATTGGGGATAAACATGGAGCGTCTAATCCCCAAAAAGAAACGAGTGGATGGTGAAGAGTTGTTTGATACATTGATGGAATTTGGTGCTGAGTTGAAAGGGGAAATGCTATTTGTCATATATATATATATATATATATTTTTCATATAAAATATGTCGTATATTTCAGCCAATTTTATGGCTTCGCAAAACACATATGCTTAGCTTACACAGTCGAATCTGCTTGGTGATAACTATGATTGTTCGCCTTAGCGAATTTGAGGAAGATATAGCAAAAGAGGAATTCTTTGCCGAAAGAATAAGATAGCAGTATTTTGTGAATGATTCTGGAAAAGAGAATACCAAGGGACCTTTTGAGCTTTTGGGCTTCATACAGAAATATCACTTTTGGGGATTTGCACGAAATATTGTGCTCTTGCTCCGCATCTTTCTTATCCTAGCTACTAGCCTTGAGAGATGTGAGCGTTCTCTCAAAACCCAGGATTCTAAAGAAATACCGTTAATCAACAATAAACCAGACAAGGCTCACGAGCTTGGCAGTACACTCCAGGAAGAGTTATCTTGATAATGGACAGGATTTTGGTATTTTTGTCTGCAATTTTGCCGCAAGCAAGTTAAGAAAAGCATGGTTGGAAATTTTGTACACCAGTATTGTAATAATACAAATGCCTGCATTTACAGTAGTACTTTAAAAATTCATGTTTGATTGTTGTTTTATGAAACGAACTATTGTAGGGCTGTTCACAATTGGGAGTCGTGATACACTCCGAAGGAATGACAGAAGTCCTATTAAATAGATGATTGAATCATCGCTGCAGGTTACCTACCGAGATTAGGCTAAAGATAGCAGGCGCACGACCACTATTTGTCCACACTTTATGGAAACACGCAACCTCAATAAACTATTTGCTTCCACAATCCTGCAGAGCAGTAGCAATAATGCATTAAGGACACCTGCCGGGACAGGAAGAAACACTAGAGAAAATCTCGATCTGGGATGCTACGTGCTACCACGCAGCCTGCCTGAAATTCAAGAACCAGGAACATCTGGTGGGAACACCATGTGAGTAACGAGCGTGTTCGACGCCTTGTTTACGGCCCAGGAAAAAAATCTGAACCGCTCAGCACCGTTATTTCCTGCACTAGGCTCCGATGGCTCGGACACGTGTTACGCATGCCAGCCCATCGACTCCCTCGACGTGCGTTGTTTGCTCACCGGGAATGTGGGTGGAAGAAGAGGAGAGGTGGCCAAGCGATGACTTGATCCAGGGGAATGAAGTCCCTCACTTCGGAGCTAGCCTCGTTTGGAGCGTCACGGCTCCCTGGTTGGGGTCCAAAAGACGGTGAACACGTTTGGCTGGATACACTTGCTGACATGTCAAGGAGCCGACCTCACTGGCGTTTGTGCTGTGAGTTTCTTTGTCCCTCCCCATCCCTTTTAGCCTCCCCCTCCATCTACGATCTCATTCCGTAGGGCAAAACATAAATATTTTTGCATAGTAGCCGGCTGGTAGCTTACCGGAACGATGCTTATCCGTTGCTGGTAGCTCAGCTGACATGCAACTGTTGCATTCATTTTTTACTTGGTGTATTGCATTATATGTATTGCGGCACAATAGCGGAGGTGTTTTCCCACCTCTAGCTGACGTGTATAATGATGATAAATGATGTTCAGTAAAGTTCCGTCGTTTGATGTATGTGTTTAACCTGCTAAACACTGAACGCTACCATAAGACTCTTGATTGTTTATCTTCATGATTGTGAACCAGTAGTTGTTAGTACGTCTATTTATTAGGGGCGATTTACTTGTCACGAACAGTGATTCATTGAGTAAAAAAGCAAGAATTGTGCTCCACTATTAACCTAATTTGTTAATCCCAAATGCGGTCACAGCTGTAAGGAAGCTTATGTATGCAGTGCTATGATGACGTGGTCGACTCCGCAGCGGGGATCAGTATAGCTTCCTTAACGCATATATAATAATGAGTTTTCGATCATCGTTCGTCGTCTACCGGATGAAAGCTTTTGTTTCTAATTGGTCATAAGTGTTCATAGATTCAAACCACTAACCCGGTCTGGTAACATCACCACCTTAACTGGTGTTTTGCTTAGGTCCTCAGCTTACTTATGTATCAAAATGAGGCCCACATAACTCAGTTAAGGGTGACACGTGTTGTCACCATCGATACCGTTGATGCTGTCTTATCCCTCCTCTAGAAACTGCTCAACAATAAATAGCAGCTCTTCGTAAGTACGGGTAGAGTTGTTCGTGGAAAAGTAAAAAATTATAAAATAAATGAAAACTGTAATCATACAGTGTCTACACCGAATGCACGCATGCACACGTAGGCCAATGTCTTACAACTGTATGTTTTTGAAGTTATAAGCGCATTAACCATGTACGACAGCTTGCTTTCTTAGATTCTCTAGAGTCACTAGCTCGCTAAGTTCAACCAAAAGTATGACGGAGTAGCGATGGAACATTAATCATCGTACGGATGCTGATAATGTTATGTGTTGGTTTTCCAAATGATCTAGAATTAAGGTATGCCAAAAGTTCCACGAAGAAATGTGAACTTTTTACACCAATGGTGAATTCAGGGCAAGCCCTTTGGTGTTATAATATACATGCTTAGTTGAACCGCCTTCAGTGAATTTTCCCGAACGCTTTCCAACAAAAAACGTTGCAGAAACGTGTACCGAGCCTTATACAGTAAAGGTTCTATATCCGTTGATAATACGCAAAACGATTGATATCCTTGGATCACTGCATAACTGAATCTGATTGCATGAAAACACACCTTTTTCCATTTTTGCTGCAGAGGCGAAGACACCGAAATCAACCCCCAAATCTCCAGGTAAATCAACTCACACGTTTACCTACTCTTTTCCTTGTAGCTCCCTCGGGGAAAAGTATACTTCACAAACTACTGAGGTCAGCTGCTGGAGAGGATTTCACCACCGCAGACAACTTGTGAAGGGACTGGAGATCACTCCCGTATTCTGTAATTTTAGCAAACAACAATTATAATGTTTATCAGCATGATGATTATCAAACAGACGAAAACGCTTGTTTATCATTCTTCTTGGCGATGCTGAGCTTAACTATTGTAGTGGCATCGCTGAATAACGATACTGGTATATTAACTTCGCCAAATTTGGCTCCTATTTTAGACATATACACATGCATTTCACAAATTGATCATTGCCGCTTTGCATGCATGAGGGTGTGTGGTTAAACATGTGTGGCTATTTGACCAGTGATTTAGTGATTCACTGCTTTGAACATTCGGTCACATGTTCGTCAGCATTTATAGGAGCATGCTTTTGAAGACTGACCAGTACTAAGTACCTTCGGTACCACAGTAAGCAGTTGTTCTAACTAATACCGTAAGAAGCCAACTCGCACAAAAATTGTTGTTACGCACGAGTTCTATGAATACGTAAAGATATGAGTCAAAGGACATTTCAGTCAATCCAATGACCCAGCAGTTCTCTTACTATCAACCGTTCAACACTTTAGTAAATCGTCCCATGCAACTGGATCTGTTCTAGCAAATCTACTTCACTTACATCCTATTGAAGATTTCAGGTCGACATGCTTCCAACTCCGCTCATACTCCCCTGACCAGTGGCTCTCAACCTTTGTGAGGATGTTATCCACCGAGCGGGTTCAGTATAAACAATTACCCCGAGAAAAACTTGGTTTAAAAAGCTAATCAACTATTGCATCTTTCGCTTTAAAGTACGGAAAATGAATGCTATTATTCGGCTAAAGAAAACATGCAGTTTTGAGCCCTTTTTTTAATTTAAGTGATGATGTTCGTTAATTAGACGGTTTATATTGCTTAGTTCCAACAATTTCTGATATATTTTGTGTGGTTTCGGCTAATGCACCAAGTTCATTCGATTCATTGCCTTAGCGTGTGATCCCTGATCAAACAAGAACAGATGTTCATTGTTCATATCAGTGGATTCTCATTTGTTTCGAGTACCCCAGCTCTGTCCTGGATGACAGCTTCCCACCACCGATGATTTCGTTTTTAATTTTGTTTGGCTACAGATTGATGACCCAATCCTCATATAATTACCCCATTAAAATGCATTGTTATCCCATTGGTGGTAATTACCCCCAGGTTGAGAACCACTGCCCTAGACAGAATAAGACATGAGTTTATGTACGCAACGGGACTGATGCTTATTGTGATGGGACGGTATGCCCGCGTGTTTAATTCGCCTAACCATACCGATTCACTCTTTTAGGCACATTGAATACCTAAACCACCAGATTGCCTAATTGCGATAGGTCAGGAAACCTGTTCCTTGTTTCTTCACATTGTGTGTTGGAAGTGTGATGCGATCCCACTCCGCAAAACTGAACCAACTTGTGACCCGTTGTTATGATTCTATCTTCGGCTTTATGACATGGTCTAATGGTCCACCTGTCCAGTTTCGGCTATTGTCATCAGCAACATCATCAACAGCAACATCAACATCAACCATTCGAACTGATGCTCTACTGTCATGCAACCACATCCAGAAGAAGCAGAAGAACAGAAGAGAAGGGAGAGTTACCGGACAACCTTAATGCCCTAAGCAAATATTTTGGATTAAAGTGCATACACCTAGTCAACGACATTCCATCACAAACAGCTGGCCATCGTGCAAAGATAAGGCGACATCGGCAAGACGGCTTACTTGAGGCTTTTACTGCCACTCGTCATAATCAGCATCGAACACGGTCCTGGTGATCACATTAACCAAGATTCACTTCAAAGTGTATCGCGGTCTACATTGAGATGGCGCGTCGTAATCCAATCACACAACGTGTACTCCAAATGACCCACAGTTCAACAGTAAACACGTTTTAAATAGGCAGTCCGACTAGGAGACGGTAGCAGGCACGTCGCTGGTGCCGACCGCGAGCCCTGTCCCATAAAGTCTCAACCCAAACACAAGGCTAGCCAGTGGACTCCAGTCAGGAAGGTAAGACGGACCGACGGCACCTAGTTTGGTCGTCAGTGACTTCATGTCCGGCTGCCAAGTCAACTTTTGTCTATCTCGAGCCTTGTGACACCCTACCCCTGGCAGACAAAACAAGGCCTTTCTCGGCAAGCGGTGACCGGGCATACGTAGTACGTACCCAAGCCAACGTAACTTATTCCGTGATATCTGTTGTTCTAAGGCACTAGCTTGGTTATCACCGTTTAGTACTTGCCTAAGCACATCGATGCGGACATGTTGGTACAATCCGACACCAGCAATGCTCCACAGACAACGATGATCAAAGACTTGAAGGCGCCTCAGATCTTCAGACCAAAGGGACCAAGTCTCAATCCCATAGAACAGGACGGCCCTCACTGTGGCCTTGTAAACATGGCCTTTCAGACTGGCGTAAACTCGCTTCTATCGCAAAAATGTCGCAGATACAAGAAGGCCTTTCTGGACTTTTCAATACGTGCACTGACCTCAGTTACTATGCGCCAATCGTTGCTGATGCAGTTGCCAAGGTAGATGAAGAGACCAACCATATCAAGTTCATCGCCATCAATGATCAAGAGGTTGTCAAGTGGCGCGTTATCCTGTAACAGCACTTGACACTGAGGTTGTAAAGCGCATGCCAAATGATGAGACCCCTCTACAGAGACTATTCAAGGTTGATAGCGGCCACCCAAGATCGTTAAACAGCAAGACAATATCGTCTGCACAATAATCAACTAGCCTTCCCCGAGGCAGCACCTCAACGCCTGCGTCGTGAGGTTTCGCAAGGGAGCACTCCATGATAGAGTCCAGGGAGAAATTGAACAAACATAGGGAAATTAACAATGAATAATGAGTTATCACGGGATAAAAGCAAGTAGTTGACACGTCCTGTAGTATGGTTGGGGTGAATACATTGAAATAAAAATACGTGTGAGTCATCTACCGCGCGTCTACCGAGATGAATACTTTGACAGATAACATCAGTGCAAATGTAAAAAAAATCGAGTATAAACGTTCAGAAATACACGGGGTGCAGTGTTCATTGTTATAAGACGTGAGAAGTCAACATATGATCCCTCACTTAGGTCCATTTGATACATAAATCCTTTAGAAAAGCGTGATTAGCGTAATTCACAATAGAGGAGTTTAGGTAACAAAATGCTGGGAGCCTAGAGTAACATCTAATCGTTTTTTGAAAACATCCAAGGGAGGAAAGAATACAACTGAGTCTGGGAGTGCGTTCTAAGGTTTGCAAACCCGAAGGGAAAAGTACTTCCGTCTACATTCTAGACGGCTATATTGTTCCTTCAACTTTAAGCAGTTCCCCCTGAGCTGTGTGTTGTGGCAAAGTTTCAGCAAATGGCGGCATACGTGGTTGGGGTCACTCAGTATCTGATAAGCTAATATGAGATCGCCGCGCAGCCTTCGATAGTGTCTGCTGAAAATTCCCAGCAACTTCAGCCTTCGATGGTAAGAGTGATAGCGCAGGCCCTTTACATTCTTTGTTGCTCTTCGTTGTGTGCCTCTGTCGCTTCTAGGTCGCGCTTCAACCAAGGTTGCCAAGCTTGGATAGTATATTCAACATGCGGACGCACGTAGGAATTGTGCATCACTGGAAGGATTGATGGGTCGAATCTCCCAAATGTCCTTCGCAGCATGCCGACGTGCTGGTTGCCTCTTTTCGCAGCTACCTCAGCTTGTTTCGAACAGTTGAGGTCGCTCTGTACGAGCACACCAGGGTCACTATCCTGAGAGTTCTTCTGCAATCCGTGTGTCCCAAGCGAATATGTGTAGTTATGTCTATGGCGTAATTGCACAGCACGACATTTGTCTACGTCGAATGGTAGAGCGTTTTGAACTGACCAGTTCGACATTGTGTTAAGATCGCACTGGAGAACTTCGTGGCCGTCCGTTCCTCTGATCCTTCACCATATCTTGATATCATCAGCGAAAAATAAGGAACCGGAAGTAATTGATCTCGCCAAATCGTTAATGAACATCAAGAATAGACGAGTTCTAGACATTGTGCCTTGTGGTACACTACACACCACATCAGTTGCATCAGACAATGATTCTCGGACTCTAACCTCCAGCCGTTGTTTTTGTACAAAATTACTAACCCAACTCAAGATTTGGTCACCAGTGCCGTAGTTTCGAAGCTTCTGAGAAAGAATTCATTGATCTAAGTGATCAAACGCTTTTGAGAAGTCCAGGAAGATGACATCGACTCATACTCCATCATCAACAGCCTCAGTCCAGCTATTACGTGCAATTAATAGGATAATATTATATGAAGGCTTTTGCCGGAAGCCATGTTGGTCTGGAGTTATTAAATTGTGACTTTCCAGGTATTACATCAGCGCGTCTGCGATGATTGATTCCATCACTTTGGATAATGCAGGAAGTAGCGTTATTGGACGGTGGTTGGCAGGATCAGTGCGGCTACCTCATTTATGGATAGGAGTGATGAACCCTCGCTTCCATACTGGTGGAATACGGTTCTCTTCTAGACATCGCTGATAGAAAACAGCCAGTGGTTCTGCTAGCTCACTAGGTATATGCCTGTAGAGCCTTCGGTCGAATGTTTTCAGCTCCGGGAGAACTGTGGATATGCAAGAATAACAACATCTTCAACGCAGCTTCCGCAGTGAGGGTGATGTTTTCTAGACCAGATGGTGGAGTATTAGAAATGAGGAGAATGTTTGGGCTCGTTATCTACTGGAAGGTTTGGGAGTAATGAAGCCGTAAGAGATCAGCTGCTTTCAATGCTGACTACGGGCATCCATCAGCCGTGACCAGTGCTGGAATCCTGCGCTTCACCTTTCGAAGACCGTTAATGTGTCTATACACAAGTCTGCAGCTCATGCAGAATCGCTTCAATAACTCCTGCTGATGCGTGACCTTATCGTCGAGGAACATTTTCACACAGAAGTTACGGTGTGTCACGTATGCATTCCAGGTTTCGGCGTTCGGGCAGTCCTTTTGAGCTCCCTCCGGGACATACATTTACGTGTTCTTCTCTTCAGAAATGACTTATATTTGTTTTTAAGTTGAAAGGATTACTGTTCCGATGCGTGCGCTACCAGTGAGCTAAATGTCCTTGTAAACGTTTCCCAGGCAACATCTGGGGGGGGGTCGGTTAAGAAAGTCCAAGAC